TTTCTTAACAGTAATTGTCCTCAAATAAATGACTTTTGTTTCAAGTACAACTTTCAACATTACTTGTCTCACATTATCAAACCACTCCACCCCCCCCCCCCCGTCCGTGAAGGTTGGACCAACTTTTAAGAGGAGCAGAATTTGTTGCATCCTCTCGTTATAGGTATTGCTGATGCTAAGTGCTTTGTGGTTAAAAGCATCAGCTCCTAATCCTGCTTAAATCAGCACCATTTTTTCCCCGTTACAGATAAGCGGAGTTTATGGGCCTTTAAGGCCCAGCCTAATTACTATGCTTTAGATAAGTACTCGTCCGTCTGAGTTCGTTTGACCTTCCATTTCCTGCTCCACAAGTGCAGACGCACCAGTTTGGAGTTTAGCTTGGATCTTCCTCCTCGCGCTCAGCCTCACCTAGAAGAGGATGGAGGGAAAGTTCTCTTTCTGCGCTGTGTTTGAGTATTCAACGCATCAACGCTCAAACCGTCTCCTGTTTTCATATTCCTAATTTCCTAATTGCCTTTAATTGGTTAATTACAAATTCAAATGAACAAATCTAGAGGTCAGAGAAGCACACTAATTGAACAATCAATCAGCGTTAGACTGGCGGACTATTGTCCAGCTTTGATTGACGGCACATTAGGGGCCGTGTGATTGGCAGGCTTTTTGTTGACATTGAGGGCCAGGAAGATTGTTGACTGTATTTCTCTGCAGTTGTTGCCCTTGACATTTTGAGAGGAGGGTGGGGGCTGTTCTGTGGAGTTCTGCTGTTTTTAGGAGGAACTTTGTGCTTCACAGCTCAGACTGTAAGGGCAAGTACTGATAGAATTTGTGAAGTGCTGATTGGAGACCGATCTTGTTTTTTCTTACAAAAGTCAGAATGTGAGCATTTCCATATTCATATCCCTAGACATACATTCCCCTCTACATATTCCATACATATAATTCAGATTCCATAATGTAATTCAAAAAACATAAAGCAGTGCTTTATAGATCTACTTTGACCTGTATTTGAACAAAAACAGTACAAAGACAAGATACATAATGTTTTGACTTACCGACTTCATTGTTTTTTGTTAATGATGCCTGCAATGTGTTACGAAACATGGGACAGGGACAATTTAAGACTAAGAACACTGTTAAATGTTCAAAGAAAAAATATAGATGCTTTTGAACTTTGATGTTGGCGAAGACTTTTGAGAGTTCTTTGGACAGCAAAGAAAACAAATGGATCTTCGAACAAATAAAGCCACACCTCTTGCTCAAAGCGCAGATAACCAAATTGAAGCCATCTTATTTTGGATATATTCTGAGAAGAACCGATTCACTGGAAAAGACTGTTATGCTTGGAAGTGTTGAAGGTAAAAGAGAAAGAGGACAACAAGATGGATGGATACAATCAGAGGAATCATGAACCAGCCATTCAGAAGCCAGAAGACAGGATATTCTGGGGAAATACTACCCACATCGTCACCAGGAGTCGGAAATGACTTGACAGCACTTAATAATAAAAGGAGCATCCAGAAAAGGTCTAGTTCTTTATGAGCAAGGATGGGTTGAAGCTCACCACACTGCAAAAAATCCAGCAGTTTAAAAATTACATTCTTCAACCAGAGATTGCAAGGATTGTAGGTATTTGACCCTCTACAGTGCAAATGATCAAAAGATTCAGAGAATCTGGAGAAATCTCTGTACGTCAATTTAATGCCCATTATCTTTGACTCCTCCAACGGCACAGCATTAAAAACCAGCATGCTTCTGTGATGGATTTCACCACGTGAGCTAGAGAATACTTTGAAAAAAAAAAAACATTGTCAATTAACACTGCTCACCACTGCATCAGCAAATGCAAGTTGTCATCTAAAATGTACACAGTGTATCGTGTATATTCCTATACATTCATTACTCTATACATGTCCCTACACATACATTACCCTATATATATTTCTATACATTGTATACATGTCCCTACACACACACACACACACATGCACACACACACACACACTCACACACACACAATATATATATATATATATATATATATTTTTTTTTTATACATATTCCTATACATATATTACCCTATACACATCTGTACATACACTGTGCCCTTACATGGCATGTAATGTAAACTGTTTCTCTTAACGTTAGTGTGTGTGTATTTAGAAGTGTCCCACCCTTGGCTCTGTAATACAGGGAGAATGGAGATTAGAATGCCTGTATTGGACTCTGGGAACCCCTTCAAGGAGCTGATGAAGCTGCCCTAATGGTGGCTGGATTTGCCTTTCTGTTTCTCTCTCTCTCTCTCTCTCCCTCTGTCTGTCTTTGTGTCTCTCTCTTTCTCTCTATCCTCCTTTTTTTCTCCCTGTGTGTTGTTTCCCTCTCTTCCTTGCGGGCTCCATCCATCAGGCTGGCATGCGGGCTGCAGCTCCACTCCCAGCCACAATATTTCACTGCCTGCCATCACAGGCCTGACAGCCCTGCGCTCGCCAGGAAATTGCTTTGGCTGTGAGCGGAATTTCAAGCACCAAGCACCGCCCGAGCGCTCTCTCTCCCTCCCTTTCTCTCCCTCTCTCTCCCTTTCTCTGCTCTCTCTCCCTCTCTCTTTCTCTGCTCTTTTCCCCCCTCTTTCTCCCCCACTCTCTTTCTCTCTCTGCTCTTCACTGCCCTCTCTCTCTCCTTCTTCCTCTCTCTGCTTTTCTCCCTCTCTTTGCTCTTTTTCTCTTGCCCCCCCCTTTTTCTCCCTCTCCCTCTTTCACTCGCTCTGTGCTCTCTCGCCCTCTCTCTCCCTCTTCTTCTCTCTTTCCCTCTCCCTCTCTCTCTTCCCCTTATCCTCTTTTTCCTCTGTTTTCCTGCTTTCTGTCTTTCTCTTTCTGTTCTCTCTTCTCCCCTTCTCCTTGTCACCGCCCTTTCTTTCATTCTCTTCTCATTCCCCTCTTTCTTTCTTTCCTTTTCTCTTTGTCTCTTTTTCTAATTTCTCTTTACTCTCTCTAAATTTCTTTCTTTCCGCTTCTTTCTTCTCATTCACGTACTTGTTATGTCTTTTGCTGTTTGTCTTTTTCTGTAATTTACTTACATTTTTCTCCCTTCTTTCTTCTCTCTCTCTCTCTCTCTCTCTCTTTGCCTGATGACCCCCCCCGGGAGTTGAGGTGAGCTTTGGAATGTGTAATGAGATGAGGGAGGGTTGGTGTAGCTCTACTGTACAGAGCAAAAGAGAGAGAGAGACACAGAGAGACAAAGGGAGAGACAGACGAAGAGAGAAAAGGTCAGGGGTGAAACGTTGGCCCTCTTGTATACACTATCAAAAACGTCCAGGCTACAAAAGTGGGAAAACAGAGAAAAGGAGAGTGAGCCTAAAATAAACGGTCATTAATGTCTGCCTCTGATGAGACACACATAGCAGGGTGCTCTTTGTGAAGCCTCATCACTGAGGAGCAGTGACTCACACACACACACACACACACACACACGTACGCAGACAGACCACTGAAGCTCATCAAACGCCGGCCCTCCAAACAGCGACGCCTCAGCCCACTCGACAGTGTGATCGGCCGTCTTACATGAACCCCACACTGCGTCTCTCTCTCATCCTCTCTCCCAGCGCAGGCTTAATGATGTGGCGGCCATGTTGGAGCCCACAAGCCGTGCGCAGTTTCCTGCACTGCAGCGGCCACTACAGAGCCGGAATGGTGCGTGGGCGGCGGCGGAGGCACTTCTGAAGGGTTTTCCTCTCTTTCCTCATTCCAGCTGCGTGCCGCTAGCAGAGCTGCACTCTTTTCCGCAGATAAAAGCCCTTTCTGTAAAACACACACAGCCTTTACACTTTTTTTGCCCTTTTCTTCTCCATTCATAGGAGCGTACGCACTTTTCCATCCTCTATTCTCTCTCTCTCTCTCTGTCCTACAGTCTGTAAATATTCTCTTTCAAATGACAGCCAGCTACTCCCTCACTTTACTAGGGACTATTGTATTTCTGCTCTGGGATTTTTATATTTTTTTTTCCTCCTTGTTGCGACTCGCTGACAGTTATTATTGTACCCACGCTGCAGACCAAATTAATCATTCGTTTTATGGTAGAAGCCGGAGCCATTGGCCCTGAGTCCAGATACAGGGGCATTAGGTTTGCTCGCTGACTAAGGAACATAAATGAATCTCTTTCAACCATGCCGCGGTTATTAAAGGCAGCTTATGAAATGGCCAGCGGGAGAATGGCTGTCGCTCCTTTATAACACGGTGAGTGATCGTCCCGCTCGCACTGTTTTGACTGCTTAGCATCAGCAGGGTGGCACTTTCTCTCTGTCTGCACAGTACGACGCTGAGGCAAAACCTAAAGCTGTGCAGTCGCACTCAACTTTGGAACAGTCTTCTCCAGATTTGATAATCACTTTTAAAGCTTTGATAAAATATATTCTAATGCAGTCAATCAGCCAAGACTTGTTTGCCATCAGAAGTTTCATTCTGTAGTTTTGCACTGGAGCTACGAGGCTAATGTAGCTAACAAGTAATCCAGGCTTATGGATGCTAATAAGCATTGTGCAAACCGCATGCCTGAAACATCAAATACTTCCCTGAAACATTGTTGAGGTGTTCAGTAATTTCAAACAGACTTGCTTACGTGGTGTCTGACGCTGTATAAATGTACAGTTGCCTAAAATGGTCCAGACCAAATTCATGCTTCAAGGTGGCTGCAGCTTCTGTTTTTGATTATGCAGTGTACTTTTCCCCTCTTTGTGCAGTGCAAAACTAAAGCAGCAAATTTTGGCTGAATACATTTTGACTAAGGGGATTTTTTCACTTTAAAGATGACTTATCTTTATTAGCTCTGTACCAAATTTTATATGTGCTTTATGTGCATTTAATTCTCTGACAGTTTAAGGTTTTTACATACTGTAAATATGTTTTTGAGTGCTTTGATGTATGATTTTTTTTTCTCTGTGTTTAGATGTAATGCAGCACTTTGTAACCTCAGTGGTCTCTCTCTCTCTTTCTCTCTCTCTGTCTCTGCAGAAGGTGAGCTTGGAGTTCTACATTGACGTGCATGCTCACTCAACCATGATGAACGGCTTCATGTATGGTAACGTGTTTGAGGAGGAGGAGCGTGTGCAGAGGCAGGCCGTCTTCCCCCGCCTGCTGTGCCAGAACGCACCCGACTTCTCTCTCGTGAGTCTGCGTCTCTCTCTCGCTCTGACCTCCCCTCTCTCGTCACACAGCACTACACCCCAGCAAGCACCAAAAATGCTGCAGCTATACAACTGTGCTTACAATCAGGCTCATGTTACTCCAGCATCCATGAGTAAAAATGACTCCTGCTGTATACATATATTTATTATTTAGTGATATGAACTCACAGAGCATGAGCGGGAAATATGGCATCTGTGAATTTTCAGTTTGTTCGCTGAGTTTAACATTGTTAAATTCAACAAATAAACAGTAATGGTGTATTAAAATGTGCAGAAGTATGTAGTGTAGAGGATGTGACACTGTAGAGGATGTGATACTTGTACTCAGTAAGTACTCAGAATATCAACAAAACATAAACATTTTGCATAAAACTATAGATAGATAGACAGACAGACAGATAGACTTAACTGATACTTAAGGGGAAATTTGAATCTTTACTTTATGATAACACATTGTACTTTATACTTACTTTAAGATTACTTTACTTACTGTATTCTTATCTAAGATAAATTTATACACTTACAGCTGAAATACTCTGACTGGAACCATGCAAAGCAAAATTAATAGGTTAAATTAACAAAAGCACTATTTTACATCAATTCAGTCTTCAAAAAAACTTCAAGTTAACTTCAGTCCTCAGCCACCTTTACAGTGTAATACTGTGCAAGCAGCGATTGGGCTACACGTTTTAGACTCTGCACCAGATGGTAATCCCTGTTCAATCCCTCTCTTCTGAATTTGATTGAAAATTAAAGGTGTATTTTTTTATAATCATACCAGTTATTATTAAATGCTCCCCGTGACACCTTGATATTTAGTTATCTGCTCTGTCCACGTTGGGAAATAGCTTTTATTCTTTCATCTCAGCTGTTTTTCTCTCCACACCATTCTCATTAACATTATTGGCATTTTGCTAAAATTCAATACGCTCCATAAATTAGTGAAGTTTTCGTTTCTGAAACGATCCAGCTCACTGTGTGCTATTTTTCCTCTAACCTTTTCAAATGTGCGCAACGAGACAATAAGCAGACTCAATACTGCTGATGAGTTGTCTATAAGGCTGCGGAGACGTCTTTAGCCATTTCTCCACGGAAGATCTTTCAGTCGCATTAGGAACAGCATACTGATGAGGGGGCTTTCATGTGTGTGTGTGTGTGTCTGAGCAGGAACTAACATGGAGTGTATAGCACAAGAATAGTCTGGTAGGCTGATGTAGAACTGTTTCTTACTTCTGAGCTAATATTTTGCATACTTCTTACCAAGTGTGCTGTATCTCACTCATCCTTGCAAAATATACAGCTCATATAGACAAAAGATGTTTTAATTCAATAGCTATTCTTTTATCTTATTTGCTTGATATAAGTTTATTTACTGCATGAGAGAGTGCTATGTAGTGAAAGTTTCATATTACTTGCTTCCTTTATTGTATTAGTTTAAGTAGATTCATTCTTCATTCCAAGGATATCTCATTGACAATGGAGACGTGTGCTCTTAACCCCTTAAATGGGAATTCTACTGATTTCTAGTGACTGTATTCATAACCATCATGTAATAGGTTTCTGCGAGGTAGCAGAATATAATAATTTAATAATATAATAATAAAATAATTTTGCGTTAGTAAAGTCATTGTGCTGTTGTTGTTGTCATAGTACTGCAATGTTGCTTGGCAAGCGTAGCCTACTGTTAACCCCTTAAAATCCCATCTGAATTCATTTTTTTTGTGATGTCACAGAAACAAACATGTTCATATATATCCACCTTTTTCAGCCTACAGAAATTTAGCTCACAATACACAAAACAGGGCGGCCAATCACATCATTTGCATGTATCAGTCTTAAAGGCACAGCAACAAAAATGCCCTGTTTAATTCTAAGGGATGAAGCGAGTTTGGAAAATGATCATGTTGATATTAACTATGATTTTGAAAGTACATAAATGTCATCACTTGTCCTCTGGGAAGAAATGTGTAGGATGTGGACCCTTTCATACTACATTAAGTAATTTAACTGGTGTATTTTATTGTATTGTATATATTGTACAGCTATTTTCCATGGTAAATCACAGTACTGCTTGACTTCTCATTTATTGCTTTAATAAGCCTTAAGATTAATAACTGCATTATAAGAGAAGAGTTTTATGGGTAAAGTTACAGTGAAGTATTTATATTTAATTAGCGTATAGAGTTTGTATCTTGGAGAATGAGGTATCTACTAACCATCCTGCAGCACTAATGCTGTATTTGTAGTTCGGTGTTTTTTGTCAGCGTTGAGTTTCCCTGACCTGCACTCGTGACCTTCAGAACTCACACAGTGTGACATTTCACAGCTGTGCTGGTAGCGTATAGCCAGAGGAATAACCTTTACTGTTCAGTCAGCCATTCAGCGCTCCTTCTCTTCTCCCAGCCCAACACAAAGAGCACTCATTTCACTCCGTCTTATACACACACAAATGTCATGCTGTCTATGATATGCTGTGAATGCTGTTGGCGTGAGCAACTTGCAGAAGGCTGAACAATGTTGCTTCTCACTGTGTGTGTTAATATATCAAACTTTCTCTACACTGCCCATCTAAAGCCTGGGGACACCTAGCTTTTCCAAATGCATATTTTTTTAAATTAAAAATAAATATGATTTCCTGTCTGTTTGCAGTTTGCACTTCCACATATTTAAGACTACTCAGGTTTATTTAGAGGACAACAATATTACATGTAGTGCTGATTTGATATTATTGGAATTGGTATTGATGAAAGTCGATGGAATGATATTTTCCAAACACGTTATGGTATCACAGTATCAGATGATATTTAGGTTTGAATTAATGAAGTTAATTAGCCATGCATCATGAGTACTGCTACCCCATGCTAAAGGAATGTCTTACAAACCCAATATAGCTTGTTTTTATTGACTGTTTTGTTCTGTTTTCTTCTGTTTTTCCTTCTTTTTGTTTTTATGTTAAATCAAAGGGAACTTTACCCTGTACTGCAAACATTAACCAGGTAGAAAACACATTTACAGAACAAAAATGTACTATTAATTTAGCTTATATGTATTTTGAACAGTTTTTTTCCAAACAAAATGGCATGCGGTTAACTGTCAGGTCCTGGATATCATGAGTAAAGTGCACAAAACAGAATAAAAAACTAAAAACAAAGAGAGATACTACAATTTTATGGGCATTATCGTGGATATAATGCTCAAGATCTATCAAATATATCACTCAAAACACTGCATAAACTGAAAAGCAATATAACGGTATATCAGTATCACAGCACTGATTGTATGTGTAAATATTGAGACCGCATTTATGACATTACTATCTTGGGAATAATGCCAAGCCCCACACCTTTTATCCGCTTATTGTGATGGCAGTACTCATCAGCACTCAAACCTTTCAGCTGTTTAGAACATCTTTGGCGCGAAAGGTGGCTTTTGATTGGGCCAGTTTTTTGGACATGTATGACGCCTAGTCCTGGAATGCAATGCTAATGATGTTTCATCACCACAAACCCCATTTAGTCTAGGCTTAGGATTCATCTGAGCATATGAAACTGGCCCAATATATTCTTTGAGCAGTTTCTATGATGAACATGAAGCTAATTGTTACTCAATATATCTAAAGTATTAAAAAGAGCTTTTAAACAACAAAAATCTAGTCTTTGGATAATGTTAGAGTAGAAATGCCTATTTTATCATGAAGACAGTAAAAGAAGTTTACAGATCATATTGTTGAAATTTCTTTGTTTTATTCTGTGATGAGAAAGCAATATGCACTGCTATTATAAAATGCTTTTTCAGGTCATATTGTTGTGCAAATTCTAACATAAATTCAGCTGTGAGTGATATATTAGGAAGTCCTCCTGTAATATCCTTCAGAGGGTATGTGTAGGACTGAACATAAAAATTCATGAAAGAATGTAAAAGCTGAGACTGTTGGTTCTGAATGTAGAGAATTTTGACTGGGTCCCACAACTGCATTAATCAGTGAGATCTTAAAAAACCTTGCAGTATTTGTGTAAATGTTATCATTAGGACAAAGAAGTTATGCATACTTGGATATTCTGTTGATTCTATTGGAAACTACATTTACCAGCAATATATGACATGGCATGGTTGTGCCAAGTGTTATGGAGCTACACCTTGGAAAATATAGTTAGGTGAAAAAACACGCCAAAATAAATATTTTTCTGTTGGGTTTTGACAGTTTTATGATTACAGTTTAAAAGATGACATGTCACAGATGCTATTGATCAAACAATCTGAAACAAGGTAGAAGGTGATTCTGCCTGTAGTGTCTTCCCTTAATGTCTCCTAAAGGTTATTATTCATTGACTACATGGACTGCATTGAAAACTGGTTAATCTTAGGTCACAGAAGTGTGTAAAACTAAAAGACACACCGCTGAGTTCTGGCTATTTAAGATATTAATTAAAAAGTAATAGCAAGTGAATTCCAGTTTTAAAAGAAGGCACCATGTCCCCAGACTTTTGAAAGGAAGTATATATATATATGTAACACTTTGTTCTTATGCTGTTGTGTGGTAAGGATTGTATTGTGTGTGTGTGTGTGTGTGTGTATGTGTGTAACACTCGGGGACAGAGGGCACTTCTCGAGCTGGCGTGCTGCCCTGCTTCTCTGCCTATTCAGCACCCAGCTCAGCCCAAAGTTCAGGCAGCATATTGACGCAGTGTTGCCTCTGGAGAGGGCCTTGTCTCGGCTGCACTTAGCCACTAGCTACATGTCACACTGACACCAGATCAGTCACCTCCAGCGCGCACAGCAAACGTTTACCAACCATTAGAGCTGAGCCAAGGAAACCCACAGAAACTTGTACAATGTGCAGACTAAGCACACAACGAGAGTGAAAGTGGCTAGCGGGGAAAAGATGCATGACGCCCACTCAGCTGCCATCATAGGAAAAGCAGCATTAATTATTAAAGCACACTAATGTACACAATAGTTATGCTCTTATTCCTAACAGTGCTGTCTCTATGGAGACAACATAAGAGTCTGTAAAGTACCACTCCAAAGAATTATCTCTTTCCCAACAGTCTTGTCTTGTTTATGCTTCATGCCTATCAATTTTAAAAGATAAAAAGCAATATGATGTTAACGTACAGTACTGTGCAAAAGTCACTTCTATGATAATGGATATTAAGTACAAGTTATTTCTTTTTTCAGGTGATGTTTCTGAGAAAATTAGATATACACTGAATACGGGGAAAGTCAAAGGAAAATAAATGAGAAAACAGGAGTTTTTAAAGCTGGAGCTTAAAAATGATTAAAAGATACAGTGAAAATGGGACTCCTAACAAATGTGCAAGATCTGGTAGACGAGCAAAACTGTCACCATCAGATAAACAGTACTTAAAGCTCTTATCATCAGGAGACAGGAGAAAACCAAGCTCCACTCTTGCTTCGGATTGTAAAAAAATCGGAAAAGAACTGTTGTCTGTCCAGACAACTCAACACTATGGGTCTGAAAGGATGAGAAGCTGTGAAGATGATGTTACTGTAAAAAAGAAGCTGCTGGTGTTCTCAGAACAATAAACTGACCAACCCAAAGTCCAGAACACATCATCACTGAATGTGTTTAGGCTCTCTTGGATCATGAGGAAGAGAAAATGCAACCAACTTCTAACTCTGAACTTTGGTGAAAAAATATCTTTGCAGATTTGTTTGAAAAATTGAAAGCAAACCTCTTGAAAAGAATGGCTGTTGTAATAAGGGCAAACAATCTGCATTTAACACTGAAAAATCTGAATATTCAGTTGTTGAGGCTTCATATTGTGTAAGGTATTATTTGTTCTGCTTTTTTCCTGATGCTGAAAGTGAATAACTTGCACGCGATGGCCGTTGACAGGAAATTTTAAAAATAGTGGTCTATGACTTTGGCACTGTACAGTTTTGAACTCTTTTGAACAGAGTTTGAATTCTTCATCTAGAGTACATGTTAATTTATAATTTTTGTATTTATCAGTCATCTGATACATCTAAATGTGTACGGTGTTGGTTTTCATTCACTTTCAGAACAAAAAGTCTTGTTGGTGTACAAAAGCTAGCAAAAAACAGTGGTAACAAAACTCCTTTGACTTTAAAGTGCTTTTTACTTTGTACAACCGAATAAGCAAATACATTCCTATTTTCTTGCTGAGGGCAGGGTTAGATTTAGGGTTAGACGTACAGTTATTTATATATATATAATACATATGGGACATACGTATGACCCTACATCCTGACAGAGTTTAATAATAAACCTATGTGTCTGCATGTGTGTTTCCCCTGCAGTCCAGCACCTCATTTAACCGCGATGTGGTGAAAGCTGGGACTGGCCGGCGCTTCCTGGGGGGGCTGCTGGACGACACGTCCTACTGCTACACCCTGGAGGTGTCCTTCTACAGCTACCTCGCTGCAGGCAGCACCACTCCCGTCCCATACACAGAGGACAGCTGTATCCTTCCAGGCGTGTGTCCTCCTCTCTCTCCTCTGTTTCTCTTTCTCCCTCTGCTCTCTCTCTCTCCCTCCTTCCCTCTCTCCTCTTTCGTCCTCTTTGGGTGGTGCTTAGCATGCCTGGTGGCTAGTGTAGAGATGGAGAGATGAGGGGAGACAAAGACGAAGGACAAAATCTCCTTTCTAACAGGTTTGACACAGTGGGAGCTATGAGTGCTTTCATTACACTGTCATGAAGGTTGGAGATTCAGGTATTTTTATGTTCAGTGGTACAGTGTGACTTAGGTGACTCTGTGATAGTTTGAGCAAAATCAGATTTACACGTTTTCCCCCTTCACTTAAATTTAGCTGATCAACCAAGACATGTTTTGTGTCCAAAGTTTGCATCTTTAGTTTGACAGATAGCAAATAAATGAATTAATATAATGCAAATGCACACAGGTATAGTAAAATAGTACTACTACTGTTTTCAGCTATGTGACGAATGTTTGTACACTTGTATAGATCACAGTTTGTCATCAGAAATTGCAACTCAGAACAGTTTGAGGCAAGTGTGTACATTCACAGAGAACGTTGTAAGCGCCACTGAGCTTGACACTCATGTCAACGCAAGGTGGTTTTCACACCTGCACTTGCTGGGGGGAACAAAACTGGGCAGGGCACTCTGTACAGTGAGTGAGGGTCTTCAGTGGACAATTGAAAGAGAGGTTCCCTTATTTAGCTGAAGATAAACCATTGATGACTAAATTATGACTCTGTAAAGACCAAATATTTTTATCTAGCCTATGGTCCTTACATATAGCATGTGTTCTTCAAAAAAGTCAGTAGCTTCCGTACCCTACACTGGATAGCTGGAGGTATAGCTAGCTAATGTTAGCTTGCAACTTTATTTCAAAGGTTACTTTAGCTTAAATTCTGCTAACTACAAATTTCAGTGCAAAAGTTGCAAGCTAACTAGGGCTCTAAGTAGGATCAAAATTTTAGGAGGTACATTTTACAGAAACGTGACCCACTTCTCTTAGCGAATAAAATAACTGCTGCTCCTTTTTTACCAGTGCATTACTGTTATGCATCTTTTCCTTTTATTGTTCTTTCCCATCCCTCCATTCTTCCATAAGCTGCTATTACTGTTCCATAAACTGATTTGACTCCAGTTACCACATTTACATACATACATACATACATACATCATCTAAACCGCTTATCCTTCTGGGTCGCGGTGGGGTGCTGGAGCCTATCCCAGCTGTCATTGGACGGAAGGCAGGATACACCCTGGACGGGTCGCCAGTCCATCGCAGATTACTGCGCATAACTATTTATGTACATCTTTATTTTCAGCTGAAAAAACATATTGAAATCTACACCAAATCAAACAAAAAACCTCTCTCTCTCTCTCTCTCTCTCTCTCTCTGTCTCTCTCTTTTACTCTCTGCCTTTCCATGCTTGTCTCTTTTGCATATCTGTCTTCACTGACAACTGTAAAAGCATGCATTGAACATACAATATAAATGGCTGTTTCTACCAAACCCCAGTTAATGGGAAAGGTAGCCACTCATACAGTTAATGAGACCAAATACAGCCCAGTGTACCTGTTGATTTCTTAATAATGTTAGCTACATGATACTGTTCCATCAGTCTGCTAGTTAACAGTGAAAATTCTCATGCCGGTTGTAGTACGAGTAAGTAACATAATACGACTTTAATTTCTCATCGAATCGCTAATACTGCCAACTACGGGGCCTGTAGCCTAAAGCTACTCGAACTAGAACAAAGCATGCTAGTTTAGCTAGCAACATTTAAAATGGTCCAAATAAAGAAAAAGACTTATGGAGTTTGCATTTTACAAGGATAATCTGTTAATTACGCTCATAAACTCTTACTCTTACTGTTATGTTAGCCTATAGCATTTATTCTGCAGACCTGAATGTCTCAAGAAGTCAAAGTCACTCTGGTACTCTGGGCAGTGTAGCACCACAAATATAAACAGAGCAGCCAGTTAAGTCTGTGGCCGAACCACAGCTGTTCTGAGGTCGGCTGAGAACCAGTCACTGCTTAAATTTCATTATCCTAAAAAATGAGGCTTAATAAATATTATGTCACCATTTGAGTGTGTAGGCCTGTGAGGGCTGTGTCCCTGAGTGGACCGCTGCATTGTCATAACAGCACTGTTTCTACATTTAATCTCATGAATGGAGAAAAGTGAAAGAAAAACTCTTCTGAAACTACCGAGGTCCAGACCTCAGTGTCCTCATGGCTAGTTATGCCCACAAAGCTAACATTAGCTACACTGCTAGAAAAACCAGTATAGACCGTAGCAGGTCATCGGCAAAATCAGCATATGTTGTGTTTTGGATGCTGGTAAGACCATGCAGGGGGACCACCCAAACCAGCTTAGACCAGCTTAGACCATCTTAGAACAGCATGAAATTAATGCTGGTCCTTGCTAATTTTTTCAGCAGGGCAGTATATTTCCAACTGGCCACTATATGGTATAGTAGCCTCTGATTTGTGCATTGTGTTTAGATATCGAAGAGTCAATGACAAAACAAAGACAACAGGCTAGTTGGAGATATAGCTGAGTAATGTTAGCTTGCAACTTCATTTCATATGTAATCTTAGCCCAAATTATACTAAATACAAACCTTTAGTGCTACATATTGTTGTGGTCTTGGTCTTGGTTAGTGATAATATTAAAAATTCATCCATGTTGGAGGGAACTACTCGACACGAGTGCCTCACAAAAGTTGAAATCATCTGAACTTAAGATGACACTGCATGTTGGCAGTTTTTTATGACTATGCTGCACATCCTGTTGAAAATGAAGTGTTTAAAAGTGCAGCTGTGAGTTTCTGCATTCAGTGTAAAAGCAGCTTTAAGCATACAGTTTGCATGATGTTAACCTGCTGGCCACAAGCTTCCATTACTTTTTAGCTACATAAGCCTCGAAGCTCCTATGCAAAGCTAAAGCAGCAAACTTCAGACACCAAACATGTCTTGACTCATCAACTACATTTGGGTTAAGGTGAGAACTTGAGTAAATTTTGGCCCAACTTTAGGAAAGCTCCTATTTCATTTTAGTGCACTTACGGCAGTCTTTTTTAGGATGATCCAAGTCAAAAAATGAACATGGGTGTGCAGACAGGTCAGTATCTGTGTCCCTACTGTATCTGTTAACTCCCGGTGTCTGCTGCAAACTAAAACCGATCTCTACCCGAGAGGCCTGTTCTAAATGTAGCGATCAAGTACTTCAAGCGCATTGAATTTTTGCCCTCTCGAGGATCACGTGGGTGAAAAAAGACCCGATTTCCCAGAATCAATGCGAGAGGAAGCTTTGTAGACAAAAGCCGATGGCCGTGCGTCTGTCCTGCTGTCTGAAATTATCTCTCTGGCGTATGTGCACTGGGCAACATAACACATGGCTCTGGAGCTTAATAATGAAGGCCGGGGTGATAATGTCACTCTATTGAAGTTTCTGTCCCAGCCCCTGCATTTATGCTGCACACTATCCATAGCACCCAGCTCGTCTGTTAGCAGCAATGGCACTCGCTCGTTGATTTCTTAATTATTCAGAGGTCATTATCAGGCAAGGGGGCTTCACTGGCTTTGTCTGGCCGCAAGTCATGTGTGGTTTGCTGGGCAACTGGAATATACTGATACTTTAACATAGGTTTCCTTAATATGGGAACATAGTGTGTGTGTGTGTATGTGTGTTTGTACATTTTCAACATCAAAATGTCCTAATTTTAAGGATACCTAGAGAAAAACAGACAGAGCTAACCTACAGTTTCAGGACAAGAAATTGATGCTACCTTTGTAAAAGCTACCAAGTTTCATTTTTGGACAAAACCATTTGGTTAATGATGTTAAGTTTAGAGTTATATTTAATGGATCAGTGTAAATGGTCCAAAATTACCTGGAATAAAATCTTGTTATATTAACATACAGTACTTCATCCTTCATCATTTATTTTATTTCCAAGCACATTTCAGGAGATATTTTTGAGGAGATTGCATAAAGGATTATCCACTAGCATAAGGAAGCGGAATGTCAAAGGAAAAGTAAGTGAAAAAAGTTATTAAAAGATACAAAGAACATGTGACTTCTAACAAATGCAAGATCTGGTAGACCACCAAAACTGTCACCATCAGATAAACAGTACTGAGAGCTTTCATCTTTGAGAGAGAGGAGAAAATCAAGCTCCAGTCTTACTTCAGATCTGAAAAAATCCACAGGTGTTTCTGTCCATCCTTCCACTGTGAGAAGACAACTCAACACTATGGGTCTGAAAGGATGTGTAGCTGTCAAGTAGTCCTGACTGAGAAAATGAAATAGACAAAAAAGAAGAACATTAGCAAATTGGGCAAAGAAGCTGCTGAGCAGTGGACTGACCATCCCTAAGCCCAGTCCTCAACATTGTTAAATGTGTTTGATACATCTTGGATTTTGAGGAGCAGAAAATGCAACCAACTTCTAAGATGGAACTTTGGAGATGTGAAAAAAAATCCCTGCAGAAAACTAAAAACAAATGAATGCAATAAGACAAACGGATGCTATAATAAAGAAAAAGGGTGGATACAATAAATACTGAAAAATATTATATTCAGTGGTTGAGTCTTGTACTTCTTATTCTAAAGAGTTTCCATTTTGGAGATATATAATACACATGGGATGATATATGAAACGGACATGACCACCCGTCCTGACATTGACACTCTGAAGAACAAGGGCTAATTTGAAAGATAGCAGGGTCATCCTGTCACATGTAGACCACGTGTAATGACTAGACACTGTTAAAATGTTCTTTTGTTCATGACCTTTCGATGCCCATAGAAATAGAACCCATTTATAAGATTAGACTATTTCCAGCAGCGGTGAACCGAACCTTTTGGGATATTGAGGCTGTTATGGAGTGTGCAGATCTATAGTGTAGATGCATTGCAGGATGAGAGATGTTATATAAAGAGAAGTGGAGTTCAGACTAAAAGGCTGCTTAGCGTAAAG